CAGGTCACATCTTGATATCTCACACACAAGTTTCTATCTTATCATCTCCACATATTCTTATGGTTTTTCTGTCAGTTATTTGGTAACGTCACAATAGACAAATTTTTAATAGCAAATTATTTTCGATAAAGAGCTTTAAAGACAAGAAAATCTGCACTATAAAAGTCGATAGTTTCAACGATTACGTAAATGCAATTAAGCGACAATCGCAATTAAGTTGTTTTTCTAAGAATCTTTATTGCAAATTCACGTTATTGTCAAGATCTTATCCCATGAATGATTATGATTATATGTATTTATGATTACATAATCACATATGAGCGCTACTCCGTAACGATGATACACGAGATGACTTGTAAAAAATTTATTTCCTTCAACAACGCGTAATAAGTGGCAAATGTAAGCTGATTTTTGTTTGGCTTCTACATCTAATACAAATATATCCAATATATCTATGTCTATTTGTTAACTATTTATTATCATCTTTATAGTAAGCATTACGATTATTTGTTAAGTTCGACGAACACCGTATTGATAAATTGCTCTCTACAATATGAATTGTTTTGATAAAAATTATTTAATTGAAGCGAGCTAAAAAATGATTCTTTCCTTGTCTTTTTTAAATTTTGTGTCTAGAAAAGAGAAAAAAAGATAAACGGAAAAAAGAAGAGAGAAGTCGCTTTCAATTAATTTAAACTAATATTTATGAGAACCATTGTGTGTGAGATACAAAGCAAAGTTATATCCAATTTTTTTTCGAATGTCCTATCCCATTCGATTCAAAAAGCGTGACCATTCGATACCAGAGATTTGTCTACTCTTCCGTTCCAGCAATCATAGCATTTCGCGCCGTGACATTTCGACTTTTAAATCGCTTCTGGTTCACTTATTTTACATTTACTCTCGCCCCCGCTATGTACACTTCTACATATGCGTATGTGTGAAGATTCATCTTCCACATTTGGTTCCTCTGTGGCCCAATTATTCCGTTCGCTTTCAAAAGGATACAATTTCATTCCGTCTCGGTGTTATTTTTTTAATATAATCTTGAACATATTTAGAAGATACAAGCCACTGCAAAACGCCTGATTCCTCTAATGAGAAATTCTATCAAAGATGGGAAAATTTACAGAGTATAGCTTAGCACTAATAGAGAATAGCGCTAATGAAATGTTATTTTAACATGTACATGTGCAACAATCTAGGTGATTACAAATAGGTAGATCACGTGTTTTATTATCTTGTACAAGCGATGAATATGTAAAGCCTTCGTAAATATCAATTTAAAAACGTACAACCATTGTCATAGTCGATTAAATTATTATTGCAAAAGGAATTGAAAAATAATAATTATTAATTTTTTAACGCTGTATCAGCAAATATAACTGTTTGTTTATTTATTTTGGCAGTGAAAAATATTTTTAACTTGGTATATCTATTGCCAATTTTATTGCAAGAACGATAATTGCATTTGAGGAGAATCTACGCGCACAACTCCGATTTCACTGATGAATTTCACATTGTAAATCTACGTATGAGTAATCACGATATGAATGAGAATCGAGGAAAATATTTATGAAATATTTAACAAACGGCTAACGAATAATAGTACACGTTATACATTAATAAAGATGAATATGATTCTTAAAAGCGCTAAATCCTCCGTCTTTGAATTTTTTTATTTTTCATACATCTTAAGAGTATAGAAGATTGATATATTGTACTGACAATGAGATTGAATAGAGAGACGAAATCAAATGAAATATGATTCTCTTAATTAAAAATTGACGGCACCAAGAATTGGATATCAAGCTGTATAAAATCATTAAACATATAAAATCATTAAAAAATTATCGAATATAAACTTATAAAAATGATATCCGCTTTAATTCTTAAAAAGATCGATATTTGTGCGTTTGACAAAGTGCCAGACGCGAGTGCATACGTACACAATTACCCCTGTGCTAGTTAATGATTAACGGCGTATCCTCCCTCGATAACGTGCCGTCGACTATGCGGAATTAAAGTTCAGCTTTCAGCCAGCTGGTCGTTATACGAGCGGAAAACGACCAAAGAACAAAGAAAATTAGCGTTCGCGAAAAATGTAAAAACATCTATTTATATATGTATGTGCGCGTGTGTCCGTATTCGTGTCTCGTGGAATGCCGCTCTTTTTCACTGAGCCATATCTTGTGTGTGTGTGTGTGTGTGTGTGTGTGTGTGTGCGCGCGCGTATCCTATACATCCTATACATTCATCTCGCTTCACGAACTCTTACTGGCGCAGGTACGCGGTTAATACCGGGGACTATATCATATTTTTCGGAATTAATAACTTTCCGGGACTAGATCGGACTCGTAGATTTCATATATTAAAAAGTACGGAAGTTCGTGCTCCGAAATATTAACTCCCGGCTTTAATATCCCTGTTTGCGCGAAAATCAGGAACAGTTGCATTTCGTGTGTAACGATCCGCGAAATGCACCCAACTACGGCCTTAAAAGCGCACGAATTCGCTCTCGCGACCGAAACGAAGGTAATATCGACAACTGTACACAGATTTTTTTTTTTCAACAACCACACAAAGGACTTGCGAATACGCTACCACCGGAATCAGTTTACAACGAGAGATGCACATTTATGTATAGAATTAAACCGCTATTGTCGAAACTGTGCTGTATATGTGCTGTAATCCGCGTTTTTAGAATTGTCGGTCTTATTACATATATGTATCTATAAAATAACAATGTTTATAACAAAAAAAATCATGTTTTATTGTCGGCATTCGGTGAATAACAAAAAATATACAGAAATAATAAGTTCATAAATAACGATATAATATATAGTCATGGTATATAATAATTATTATAATTGTTCTAACAATTATAATTGTTAGAGAATGTTGTTTTATATGTGATGCTACATACTTATATATCTAAAACCTCTATTCAAAGGAATCTAAATACATTTCAGCGAATTGCACTCTGTTACAGAACCTTTGTAGAGTTAACCGACGACGCGTCAAAATGCATTTGCTATGCAAATTTGATTGGCGTAAAGCAAACGAAACTCTCACGTTTATTGACATGCATGCGATAAATACATTCGATTATGTAATTATATACAATACCACATCCATATAAAATTAGTATATATAAACTTTAAAAATGGCGCCATGATAATAATCATTATAATATCAATTCTGTTAAAATTATATGCAACAAAACTTTATATGCAAGTTATAAATCATAAAAAAATGTATCTAACAATAAATCATATTAAACAGTAATTTCTATATGCTACGCGATAATCATCAAATATACAAATCACAATGATAAACATCATCACTCAACAATCTCTTTGGTATTAATGGAAGAAACTGATTCGCGGTGGTCCGTGTAATTCCCTATATGTATGTATATATGTACATATATTCTAAAAATCGTACTATATAATATCGACAGCACGAATATCTTATGCCGCTATCGGTACCAATGGGCACAAGATTAAACTCCATGCCTTTGTGAAAAAGCGCAGTGGCAAAGAACGCACTGCCCCTAATATTCTAACGATAAACCATAACGAGCAAAATGTTTCCGCTTGTTCTTGCTTGGTCCGAGAATCAATCTTTTCTTTTTTTGTGCGATTTGCGTTTTTATATATTTCTTAAAGCCCATCGCGATAGAGAAATCAATATTGATTTCAATGTCTCAATCAATTTGCCTTCCGGATCAATTGCTATAAATAGAGCACGTATATAAAAAAAGGGAATAAGACGAGGAAATAGTCCGCCGTCTACAAATATGTATATGTACGAGTCTTGCAAGATTTATATTAATAATTCACGTCATTAATATGTTTTTTTTATTCCTATTAATATTTCTTATTTTATATGTTATTATTGATCAGCGGTTTAAACCTCTTACAATAACGTGCATTTGTCGATATATGTGTATTGTATGTAAAAAAATGAGCAAAGAAAGAAAAATTACATTTATATTTATTCTATTATTATTTTCTTTCTCTTATGAAATATTTTTCTCCGGAAGACAAACATTGAAATCGAATTGAAAGTATACGACGACAGGCTCGCGCATTGGCACTATTTAATTGCGTTGCGCGAATTCACAGACGAACAAATCGATGGAATTTGTTCGCCGTCGCGGAAAAATGATCGCGCGATCATCAATGACAATCTACGTACATGCTACGTACCTGCTTCTCTCCTCCTTATTTCTTATACATCGTATATCGTTAAATGGTACCTATCGCGCGACACATCGATACATGCTCCCTACCAACACTACTCACTAAACATAGCTGCTACATGAATACATCAAATGCGTAGAATACTTAATTATCTGTCTCGCGAAAAAGGAAATTCCAAATCGTCGATGTCAACATTTATCTTGCATATACCTTAATTGTATAATGAATTATGTTGTAAACGTGACAAAGTGTGCGTATGCTATCGAGGTGATGATGGTGTATCGTTTTGGCAGTTTGCTGTTTTTTTCTTTCCCTCTCTAACAACTCTTGATCATGCTTAATAAGTTCCGTTAATCATCTGTCTTTCTGTCTTATTCTCACATAGCCTCTTTCACAAATTTATATCTATATATGTGCATATTTATATTATGCTTCTTTGGTTAAGACGAAAAAAATTAACGAAGAGGGTGTATGTGTGTCTAATTATAAGTATATATATAAAATTTCGTTTCGCTGTAGTTTTTTTTCGTTATATGTCATATCGAATGGAATATATCGTTATATAGATACTGTAAGATAATTACCCAGTTTTTTTAGGCCCGCACGTTGTACATAAAAGCGGAACAATATCCATATTACGCACAACGTTATTAATATAATGTCGTATTATTATCAGATTCGCGTGAACCGATAATCTTAGTCAACTAGTTTCGATTCTATATTTTTTCTAGATTATATAATTTTACTTGTATCATAGGTGAAGAGAGAGAAGAGAAAGTCAGTTAATTATACTTTTTTTTTTGCTAACTAAGAGTGACACAGAGTTGACATTTTGAATCGCGATCAATCGCGACACGTCTAAGGAGCGTTTTTTTCGTTTCTCTTTTTTTCGACGAGTAACATATTCGAGTATCAAATAAGGGGCGGGTAGATATTTGACGTTACGCTCGCGTTTATTTCACCCGTGTTTACGAGCTTCGTCTCGCGAATAAATATATTAAAATCTTTCCCTTTTCGATTTAGTTTTCCACCTATATATTGTAAATTACACTAAAAACACGAAATATAAAACGAGATAAGGACCCTCAGTCTTGAAGAATCTTGAAACGATTGTAACTCGAAATCGGAACTTGGGATCAAGGGGGAATGAGAGAGAATCACGGAGGGAACACGAGACAGGGAGGGGATGAACGGATTCGTTGGTCACCGTTTACGTTTTACGAGGGATCGATATTGAGCATATTTGTTACCACGTCGCATTTTTTAGACGTCGTCTTTTTCTTCTCTGTGGTCCGCTAACAAATATCAACGCTACGAATAGCATTCTTTTTCCGAGATAAATAAAACGATCGAGTCATACATCGGACGAAAATCGAATACAAACCGCCGAGCGTAATCGCGACAGATTTAAAGCTGCACATTGAAAATTGCACATCCATTTTATTACAGCGAGAGTTCACGCCTCGCTAGATAATATCGTGACATAATAATACTGCTTATTATAACGACACGTCGTAAGGAAGAAAGATCTAATGCATCGTCCGCCGGAAGTATGTCTGGCGAAACGATCAATTAGCTGCCTCGATGAATCACTTTGGCCAATGCATATCTCGCGCAGTTCACGATCACAGTATCACTGTTGTAAAATCAGTCGAGTATCAACTTGAAGAATATAGCGACAGCGCTACTTACCTTCGTCATTCCCGAGGCCATGTGTCATTCGTTAAATCCCGTAATAACTAAACACTTGCCCTTTCGACGATAGATGCGTGTATGTGTGTACACGTCATCATAAATACATATGTATATGTATCCGTCACTGGAAATGTGACGGTATCAAGTCCAGTCGGATAAAAAGTGATAAAAGACATTTCTGGCAAAGACGTTTCTTCTTACGCGTTAAGGAACCATACTAATTGCTAATTGTATAATATCAGGAATCGATCGCGAGAATATCGTTTTACAATCGTTATTAATCTTAAAATCGCGCGAGTCGCGTATCTATATAAATGATACTTCGCTTAACTGTTTACGCGAATTTTGCGAATAACGACATGCAACCGTCTCGCACGTTCATTATAAATGTCATCGAATATGCTGCTAAATTGAAAAGTCGAAAAGTCGTTACGACAGTTACTTCTATTGCTTATGCAATTCCTATTTTGTTGAATGGGAATCGAGAAGTAGAAGATTTCTGTCATTTATACGATCGCGACGTATTTCGTGTAGAAGTATCGAAGAGATTCAGAACTTAGAGCTCCTCGGAGAGCGCGATCGGGGCTCTAGAACCGGGCTTCATATCCTTCACTCCGATACCAATGTCGTCTACCGGCGCCGGTGCTAACTTCAATTGATTACCGTTTACCTTGATGTCGTTGACGGAATGAGAACGGCCATGGGTGACCAAGGGCTTAGTGGTCTGATTAGTGGTGCTGTTCGAGTTAGAGCTGGTGATCGAGTTCGTGCTGGGGCTCGAGGCAGAATTCGAGCTTGGATTGCAGTTCGCGGTGGCCGTCGAGCTGGAACTGGAATTGGAGTTACTATCCTGCGTTGGATTTGGATTAACGGTATGGAGATTCGGATTTGGTGTGGACTTTGATCGCGATTTCATCTTGGGATTCGCGCACGCCGTGGAATTCAGAATCGTAGCGTGATCCGTAGTGTCTCGATTGATGGGATCGGATGCGGAATCGGGAGACACGGACATTTTGGTCGTCGACTTGGACGATCCGGCGAGCGTTGTTAGTTGATTGGCAGATTGAGATCGAATCGCGTGGCCACCGATCTTGTCCCTTAATGCCATTTGATAAGCTACCTCGAAAGCCTGACCCAAAGTCAATATCACCTCTGTCGCTTGATCCTGTAACCGAATAGTTGCGCTCCGTATGTGTATTTGCAATAAATTCAATAATAAAAACTATGCATTAATGAAAGAGCAATTTGTTCTACTCTCTAAAATATTTACCATTGTTGGGACGCAAAATACGTGACAGAAGTGAGTGTTACTGGCGTGATCCTTTGTAATGTACGCGAAGTGAGTAAGATCATCAGCATCCTGACAGGCGCAATGAATATTGCGTATTTCGTGCTCGCAAATTGGCTCCTGTCATATTAATAACAAAAAGTTACATCTCTAAATTTTTATTTTATACGCTTATTCATTTCCGTCAGAGATCAAAGTCTTACGTTAGTCAACGTGTTGAGAAAACGAACACCACGATAAGAAATCGCCAGCATAATGTCAAGAGTGACTCTCGGTTCTCGAAATGTCTTCTTCAGCTTCTGTATCGACTTTTTCGTCGACTCAGTACCACGTAATTCCTTGACGACGGTCGAGCCCAGATACTATATTATTTAGAAAGAGAAAGCATTTTTTCTAAATAAAACCGGCAGCAAAAGATTTAGAAGGGATTTTTAAGCTTTGTAAGATTAACTACAAATTTTGTAATTACTAATCGTTAAACGATTCTGAATGCAAATTCAGATTCTCTTGAATTGGAATATTCCGAGGAATTAATAGAGACAGAGCAATTTTCTGCACGAAGCTTATTATCGTATCTCACGAATTAACTATAATCACGGCATCGGCCTTGAAGCGATTTAACGAGTATCACAATGCACTCGTCACACGTAATCAACAGAAAAAGACAACAGACAAAATTATAACAAAAGTACAGAGTATAATTATATAATAATAAGCTTATACGTACTCTATAAGCTTATATATCTTTGTTTTTGTAATATCAATATAGTCTAACTTTACAAAACACACATAATTATACATATTTTTTTTACATAAAACACTTTCCATGCATAATTCGTATAGTTTACGATAGATAAAAACAATTATATATCAAAAAATAAAAAAATCATGTATATAGCTTTCATATGCAATAATTGCAAAAGACGCGATTTAAAGTAACAGAGTTTGAAGTTGAATAATCTATAAATTGATTACTATTTTTGACTTACGTTTCGAAAATAAAGAATAAAATATCTTCTCAAAGGTAATAAACGTAAGCAACATGAAAGCAGAAGGCACTTACATTAGCGACGTACGTGACGCAGCCGGTGACTAGAGCCTTCGGTTGATGCCTCCACTGCGTCTTGAGGGTGGAGGGCACACCAAAGAGCAACTCGGACGGGGCTCTGATTTCGAGCTGTTCCGGCGCCGAGATCGTCCCATTATGCGAACTAGGTCGTTGGGGTGGCTGGGGCGCCGGCCTGTTTTTACGGTGCCTTAATGTACCCGTGGCTGCCGAATTCGTTCCGGCGGTTATCGATGTGCCACCGTTACCGTCTACAGTCGCTTCCGGCAATTTCTCTCGTATCTCCTCCTTCAGTTGCTGTATGTTCGTCTTCTGCGGAAATAACAGCGCGACCAGATTTGAGAACTGCCCCGCATCACCCGGCGGATTATCCGACTGGCAATCCCGAATATATCAGGAAAATATGCGCCGGTTCAGATCGCTCGTAAGCGGAATACGTAATCCTTAATCTTTTAAGTATTATATAACGTATATCGTGTAACGTAGTAATAAATAATAATATTTCGTATTCTTTAGAATTGCAAATATACATATATGTTAGTCTGGAAAATCTTTTTTTCTTTAGTATCGTGAAAAAAATATTTAAATTCTCCAAATTTATTTTCTCTTCAATCATCGCAAAAAATTACATATAAAAACAAAGTTGTTTTTATACACTCTTACAGATAAATTCCAATTTCTGCGCAATTCCAAATAGAGACTGCCATGTCTGCCCCGAGGTTGCAATTTCTCTGACAGATATTTTTCATAACTTTATAGTGACAAGAATCTGGCGAACTAACCGATTTTAACTAAATGTTGGGGCGTGTGCAATGTAAAAAAAAATTACACCATCCTTTTATACGGCATATTACCAAGTCGAATTCGTCCCGAGTTTACTTTGTGCGACGTGCAATTACCCTTGTAAACGCATTGCGTTGTAAACTACATTCGTGCTACACCAAAAAGAAAGCTTTTACCAGCTATGCCAGAACACTGCATCGTGTAGCATTCGATAGTCACGATATTTCAGATATTGCAAACAAATTGGATTCGAACCGGATAGGCGCGACACTCGAATTCGGATTACAATCCGTATCGTTCGCTCCATCTGGCTTCTGAATATAATTCCGGGGTATCGCCATTGCGACAAATTGCAGGAGGCTTGAGCGAAAGAGAGATGAAATGAAAACACGAGAGAGAAAGAGAGAATGAGTAAAATTCGAACGTTGGAAAGCGTATGGACTACAACGAAAATCCGCCTGGGCGTTACCAGCGAGAGTGCCGGAGTCAAACTACGGTTCGTCGGATTCGATAGCTGCGAAAAATCAAGGGAGGAAGAGGCCAGCTGAAAGGGCAGAAGAGACCAATTTGTCGGGATTATCGAGCGCGAGAATGATGCGAGCCAAATGAATCCGGTCGCCGGAGACGTTTACGAGATTTAATGAGCTAATTAAGAGAACACGAGCGGGAGACACCGGGCGAGCAGTGCGATGTACTTATCGACGCCTAACACGGTGAAGGCATCCGAACAAAAAGCATCGAGTGGCGCTCGAACGATCATCGTCGAGAGAGAGAGAGAGAGAGAGAAAGAGCACACGTACGCGTGTGCGTCACAATACCGAGTCTCCAATTAGCCACGATATTTAGATTATAACGCGATCGAGCGAGCGAAATTGCGTCGGGAACGATCAGGCTTTTGCCACACTACCAACAATCCTCGATCGCTGGTGCATCCCCTCGCTGACGAAGTGTTCCCTCTTGTCAGACACCCTCGTTGTGAAAGCATTATCTATCGATTCTTTCTACGTCTCGGTTCGCGAGATTTTATATCTCGACGCACCAAATATTTCAAACATATAATTTATCTATACTTTATACATATATAAACTATATATTCTATACAAATAAATTCATTCTGTACAATATACACTCGTCAAAATAATTAAGGAAAAAAAGGAGAAAATTCATGAATTTTTTCGTTATTATCACCTATTTGTAAAAAGTTCACAAACTAAAAAAATTCAAAGCTTTAAAAATCCATTCTTAAAATTGCTGTACGATGATTTTTAACGGAGTTAAAATGAACGATTAAAATGAAAATGACATTTTCTCTTCAATTTGTGATAGCTTGAGAGGAGAAATCGAAATTTAAATTTTGAAAAACTTCAAACTTTAACGTGAAATGTCAAAAAATTTTTTTAAATCTTTTTGTATTTGCGACATGTCACAAAATGAGAAGCAAATTTTCCATTTCGTTATGTTCGTCGTTTTTTAGATGTAAAAAATATCAGTATTGAAGAAAAAAAAAAAAGCTCTTCTTCAATCTTTCAAAAGTAAAGATTTTAAGCTTTAAAACCCTTTTTTAAAATTTAAATTTTCATTTTTCGAAACAAAGTTACAACTATTTAAAATTTGCATATTTTTGAACAATTTTTTTGATCCTTTAATTATTTTGAAGAGTGTATATTTTTTATTCCAATTTCCTGATGTACTCTATCTCAATTAATAAGCGTAATAAATTTTCCAAATATGTATTTTAAAATGTTAATTTCTAGAATTATTTATATAGAAGAATGATCCATCTCTCGAAAATGTATTTCCACATTAAAATAATATTATATAAAAAAATAATAAAAGCAATTTAACATGTCACTTACCAACGTATTGAGATCCTTATTCAAGTCTTCCAAGTTCGTTCCCGTGCCATTTCGAGTTTCCGCACGTGCACTATTCGGATTATTCACGGAGGCAAGAATGCGTTTGCGATGCGCCGGCTTCTGGATCTCCAGGACCGCCGCCAGTTCGACCTCCCAGATTCGTTTGACCCGATCCATGTCGGTGTACAGATGCTTTCTAAACGTCTCCGCATAATTTTCCAGGTGGATGCTCTTCAGCCACTCCTCCACCGATTGGCCGTGACCGCCGCTGCGCTTTTCCACTCGTTTGTTCAGCAACCCGACCGCGTCCACGATCATCGCTCGTTCTTGATCGCTGCCGATTCCCATGTCGCGCAAATCCGACTCGTCCAACACCCCGTTCTGCAATCGCGCGATTAAACGATTTTCCGCATGTTTCTCGATAGCAATCGCGCAGTACGTGAAACGCATGCCTACTCACTATAAACTCGAGATCGTCGAAGCCATAGTTGACGAAGAGAGACTCGTAATCAGCTAGATTTAAGCTGGACAGCCATTGACCCACGGATGTGGAAACGATAGGACTGCTGCTAGTTTCTGAACTTAAACCTGAGATGTAAACAAAATAAAAGAATTCTTTTCTCAAACATTTATCGAAACTTTTCAACTTTAACATAAACATTAGAATACACACTATGTAAAAAGATAATTTAACATTATATAAATTTAAATTGATGTAAAAATCGCAATAAAACCGAAACAAAAAACATTATGCACGATAAGATTACCTAGCCTCGTTTGAAATTCTTTCTCGAGCTCGCTGACAAACACCGATTCTCGCACGAGACCAGTTCCGAACGATGCCATAATCTCCGAGATCTTCGCCCATTCCTCCTGCTCGTCGAAGGGACTCATTATACTGAGGGACTTCTCGTCCCTGTCGCGATCCCGGTCGCCAGAAAGTCGAAAGGCAACTTCACCGTCCTCGAGACGATCTCCACTCCCGCCGTCGCTGCCGGTCCCCATCCCGCATGCGGTCTGACCGTAGACGTTCCGCAAGCGGCGCAAAGTACGCGGCCGTTCAGCCGTGACGGAGCCCTTTAACAAACCTATCGACATGCCGGTAGATTACTATCACTTCTCTTTTCCACCTTCTCATATTTATTACATATGTGCAATTTTATATATATGTATATTGCTCTTAAATATGAATTTCAAATTATACATGTTTTTCGGAATTATATAAAGAAAATAACTGATTGCTTGTTTTCCATAATTTGCTCATTTTTCTAATTACATATGATATATTTGAACGTTGTATCGTCTTCACATTTTTGTCAAAGAATTTGTCATTAAAGTCTCATAAAATAGCCAAACATTAAGATAAATTCTATAGCTTGTACAAACATCACATTTTATCGTTGGGCGTTTTTGAGATTTTAAAAATCTAGAGTTGAATTGATATCTTCAAAATTTAAATTATTAGCCATTCTTCATTCTGCAATTTCGATAGACCTCAATACATATGTATGTAGCACAAAGCGACGGATTTACAAATATGTTAAATGTTCATTATAAATTCCTCATTTCTCGATGAAAATTGGCTCCTAAAGATAATAATCAAAATTATCTTGCAATATCACGATCTTTAAACAATTATGTTTTCAGCAACAAACATTATAGTTTCAACCTTATAATTTTAAATTGAAACAATTATCTTTTTCACACAACAAAATATCGATAAAATATAATAACATCAATTAAAACATTTCTTTAAATTCCAGACTACAAATTAAACTTTACGCGTTTATTCAAATGCAGTTAACGATAAATCCACGTTGGAAAGAAAATCTTTTGAATTACGTAGAGGAAAAATATTTGTATCTTTTCGAATACTATATATACTTTGTCTCTGTGTGTAGTGAAAAGATATTCAAAACATACGATCTCGTGTCTCTTTTCGTAATTTCCTCTCAAGCACCCCCAACATCGCATTCCTTCGCATCACATAAGTGCGAATAATTTCCCAATTTCCCCCTTTTCTCGTTTCTTTCTTTTCCCGGTCCTTCGCTCATTTATCACAGTTGCACGCATATATCTCGCATAAAAAAAATGCTTGTTACAAGTTCGCGAAGTAAATCCTTCAAAAACCATTGTTCATGACAATCGATACGTATTCTGTAAACGAGGATTCATTAGTAAAATATAGGAGAAAAAAGCCCCAATTTAACCCGTCGTCGCGAGTTTTAATTCAGAGATATCTTCTACTCTTCCGAGAGTGCGAAAATAGATTCGCCAGGAGACGCGTATACAAGATACACGGAAGCATATACACGCGCGTCCATAATGAAAAGCTCATAAAAATATTAAATAGAAGCGAGAAGAAGGGGAGAGAGAGAGTATACACGTCACGAGAGGCAAATGTACGTAATTTTAATTAAAGCTCCATCACGAAGGGCGTCGTCTGCTTACCGCTGCTGCTCTTCAGTCACACATACAAATATACATAGTCATGTTATATTATATGTAGGTAGTTATCACAAGTCATATACACAAATTACTACATAAATTCTCATCTTTCCAGCTTTCGCTGCTCATTCTTTTTAGTTACCGCTTGAGAAATTTATTTCACTGATATATCTATTCATTTTCAAAGTGTGACGGCTAAATATCTTCAAGACAATTGGAAACGTGAATAAAAATTCTTTTAATTTTTTGTTTTAAAAAAACGTTTAAAAATATCTGAAAACTGTCATGGTCGGCAAAATATGACCAGTTAAGCTTGACAATTGTATTCTTAGAAGTTTTTTTAATCTGTCCTTGGACTACTTAAATTATCACATTATAGCGAAATAAATTTAACGATTAAAGTTTATTATTATTATTGTTTTACAACACAATTATAAATTTCACATATTACATAGGCGACTAGAAAATCAATCTTCGATTATATTTCATAATACGCCTTCATAAAATTCTTGTGCCTCAATCACGATAATTAATAATTAATAGAACGTTATATGTAATGTCTGTTCATTTTAATTCTTTTTCTCGTCGTCAAGATTTTCTACTAAAGCAGAAGGAAAATCTGCGATGCTATAATTCTTGTAGACTATAAGCATTAAAGTAATTCTTGCGTAAATAAGTGCGTATGCCGCGCGAGTTCCCGGATTTTGTTGAGAAAAGAAAGGCGGATTTAGATTTCAGTGGATATTAAAAATGTATGACCGTTAAACGGCTCGTAAATTATGCGCCGTTAAATTTTTCGAATCTATCCGCGCGCTATTAGATCGTCTCTCGGAGGAGTTATTAAAATTCACAATAAACCCAATCCTACAAGTCATCAGATAGAGAATTATTAACCGAACTTTTGCCTAAATAAATCTTGGCAGGTTACAAATAGTATAGTATTCATTTAAAAAATTCTAAAACGACATATATACATCAATTACAATTTTATAGCAATTTATTAGGAACCGGTTTTCTCATGATATTTTAACGGTACGTTGTTTCATTATGTCAACATTTATATTGGAATAAATTTTGGAAGAAAAAGATTTTTTAACACTACTTAGTCATGGACGAAATTTTACAGATCGTAAAAAAATCGCGTCATTATCTATAAATTATTTCGGTCTTTATCTAGTTCTTAGTAATATTATCTACTAATTTATTTTCTTTATTAAGTAACAAAGAAACTTCCTAATATTACTATTATTCTCCTTATAAGACCACACAAAGGCAATATTATCATTTCTATTGCCGAGGAACAATAATATTGCCTTACATCAGAGAGTATAACTATTTAGGTTGAATTAAATTCATGATCAATTAAATTCAATTGGCCGTAGGTGCGACGAATTCTGAATTACAACTCTTGTGAAATCGTTACTCGTAATAGAAGCAATCTATGTAAGAGATAGCGGTTTCAGTAGATAATTGCTGACCTTGCATATCGCCAGAATACAATGAGAGAGTTCGTTTGAAATTATAATAGAAAATATTCTTTTGTAATTCCATATAGTGTGTTTTTATGCTTTAGTCTATATTGTATTCATTGAGTTGTTTTATATTTCTATATGTATAATAAGTAAAAAAATGTATTTAACATTTCTTTCAAATTATTAAAAACTTAAAGATTATTTCACGTATAAAATATCTTATAATTAAATTAATTACAAAAATATTTAATAAAAAAAATATTATATGTAATATTAATAATTATTATTTACAGATTCTCTGTCTGCGTTTATTATGCTGTCTAAAATTATTTTTCAAGGAATAATACTTTCGAAGATAATCATTATCTACATCAAACAAGAGGCGTGCCTCATCGCTAGCGATTGCCATATCGCTTCTTTGGGTGTTAACCGCCGATTACACAGTAATCACTAATTAACTTCGAAACTTTTCAGCCAATGTATTATTGCATTCGATGCTATTGACATTGAGACGAATGTAACGCGCAAAATCATTTCGTGGAAGACCTTCGTTATAGGAAGTGTTAATGCTAAAGTGAACGAGTGCTGAATGAGAATGATGCCCGCTATTAATGCGGATTTGACTGGGAACCTTTAATGGTTTCCTTCCTCATATCGCTCTATTCAATTATTCATGATGGAAATTTCGCGAGAATAGACGATCTAAAAATATTTTATCGTTTTAAATTTGACGCGCAATTTTTCTTTCTTTATATTAGATTTTTTTATTAAAAAGCAAATATACATAAAACTCTTCTCTCTCTAAAACATACGTCATGTTTCCATCTCTCTATATTTATATATTTCACATTGAATCAAAATGTATTAAATAATTATCTCAAATATTTAAGTCAAAGATTTATCGATCAAAATTTATTAGCTCAATTTGCTATTATTTTATGTAGATAACAGCAGCGAGACTCGCTTTGTTCATGCGATGCATCTAACTTTTGTTTTTATATACATCCTACACGGCAGCATTATTTTACATCGTATTAATTAAACAATGAAAGCAGAATTTTGAAACAATAATGCGTGGCACACATGTTTGACTGGTAAAATATTTTTCCTCAACCGTGAAAAAACATGCAAAATTATATTGTTTTACCGAAATATAGCGTACGCTGGAATTTTTACCAGTGATTATAAATATAATATGTGTGGATATAAATTAGTAAAAAATAGAACGGCTCATATTTCTGCTGTGACATAATTCCTGCTGCTTTGTTCTCAATATCACATGTATCTAATACTTGTAAGTTGGGGTTATAACGTAACACTTGTAGCAAGACATGTGCCAGAACTAAAGATAGAATGCCCACTAAGAATAACAGAATCGCGATTCTAAAATAAACGAGGCGAATAACACTCAGCGAAAATCCCTTAATTTGTGCGCAAATAGCTAAATATATAATTTCGTTAAATTCAAATGTAAGTATGTTATTAATGTGCGTATTGAATTATTTTCAAGATCATTGAGTTAAATGAGCATATCTACCATGTGAAGCAATTTCTTTGTCTACCTTTCTCTTTTTTTTTTGTATGCACACCCATTCTATATAGAGAAGATAGATGAGTGTACACACTCGGATCTCTAAATAGAATTGAAACAATTTCTCAAAGTGAAATCAAGTGAAATTGAATCGTTGCACTTTCATATGTCATTCGAAAAATGGTAATATTAAAAATTAAGAAGATGCCAATAAGACAATACTGTTATGTAAATATTAAACAGCATAATGTGACTATTATATATACTTTTATAAATAAGGAACCCAGTTTTAAAACTACATATATTCTACTCATTGTAATGAACTGTCTGATATCTTAACAAGTACAAACTAAAAAAAACTTTGCTTCCGGTGATAAACTGATTTTAAATTTTTCTCTTCGATTAGACTTTCGTGATGCAATCGCCGAGGATGTACTATACTATTATAACATCAAGCAACGTAACGAGCAACAAGTATCGCGCTTCTTGCTAGGCACGTCAGGAACTTTGGACACATAGTGTTCTGCGGAGTGCACGCGGCATGACAGAGCGGACACGCATACAAATTCACGTGGCTCGGATATACACATACACAGGAAGTACATACCCAGACACAGACACAAGAGTCCACCACTGT